TCCAATGATAGCAGGGTCCTTCCACCACCTGGAAGCGAGAGTACCTCTTGCAAGAGAGTGGAAGGGTTAGTGAATTAATATTTTTGGTATAAGTACACCATTGTGTCATTTATACTCGTTACTTATGGTTATTTTAATACTTAAATGAGATTACTTTTCATCTTATCTGCATTTCGTATTTTTTTTTTTAATTAGCGCTATGTAAATTTTATTATATGGCTATTTTACTTTATCTATACAGGGTAACTCCTTTGTTAACAGGGCTGCCTCGTTAAAATAAATATTATCTATGAAATATATCAACGTAAATGATCAGAATGGATTTTTAGAGAGATTTATCTGGTTACCTGGTCGATTAGAAGGGATAATTGAGGTCACCTTTATGGGTTAACGTTGATGTTTGTTGAAAATTGCATTAAAACAGAGGACCCCGATAATATGGGAATATGGTGGCTTTAAATGGGCCCTTTTGGATAGTGGCTGTAGAAGAACGTCAGATGAAAGGAGAGTTGCCGATAAACTGAGATAAACTTCCGGGCCGGCTGTGTCCAACATCTGTTAGCGCTTGTCGGCTAACGCTTCCTTATAATCATTTCCAACTCATCTTCTTTTGAATAATTAATATTCATATTTTGTTATTAAAAGTGTACAGTAATTTTTGTATATTTTCCTTCAGAAATAATAAACATTTTGACTGTACCGAAAGTCGTCAATGGACCGTGTTTTCTATCCATTTTAGAACCATTTGCATATATATAGAGAGAGATCTGCAATTATTATATATATATATATATATATATATATAAATTGAAATATGATTATATAAAGTGAAATATCTCTAAAAGCAACAGTGTTGCAATCGAAGGAAGTCGAATTTCTACATGCCATCGGTCACTAGCGGATCCAGAATTTAATTTTTTTTTGAGGGGGGGAGACTTCAGCCCGAAAGCTTTTTTTTCCATAAAAATGACGATAATTACTTTGGAAAACAAGAAAGACACTAACTATCGATATGAAATGGTGTTTAAGTGATTCCGTAAGTCCTTTTAAATGTTATTACACGAACAATAATACTTTAAGAGTTAATTTTATAATATTTTTTTCCATAAAACATGGTTATATTTTACCATTTTGGGGGGGGGGGCTTTCAGCCCGAAAGCCCCCCCCTTGTTGATCCGCCCGTGCCATGGATGATAAATACTCAGGACGCAGCAGGGTAAGCGCACTAGTGATAAATATAGCTAAGGAACTTTTTGTCTTTTTGGCTTATGCCGTCATAATTATTCGAGTTGTAAGTTTCTCCGCTTGACGTTTAGAATTTCTAAGGTCTCCTTTTTCTATTTAACACTTTTGAAAAAATATTCAGTTAGGCAGGTATAATCTCCATTAAAAAAAAACACTTTTTTGCACTAGTGATGGACACCCCGAAATTCAATTGTTCCAGTAATGGACAGGGGGTCGGTACCAGTAATGGACATACCTCAGATAAATTCTAAAATATTTTTTAACTACAGAGATAATGATAAAGCTAGGATGAGATAAATGTTCAATATCTTAGCAAAACTGTTAGTAGGAAGGAATGAAACACACTGATCTCAAGAGTACTATACCAAAAAACAATGATAGGCATTTCGAAATTTTCTTTGGGGAACTGTATTCATAAATAGAGAGCATTTTTCTTCAATCTAGAAAAAAATGGAACCTTTACTTCGACAAGTAAGCTTATTATTTATATTGAAAGTTCAATCTATCCATCACTGGACCTCTTATCCATAACTGGTGCCTTCACCCTAATCCCTTTGATTATTTAACCAAATTCCCTTAGAAATGAATTAAATATAGAATTACATATCTTTAATTTTATACTTGTTTTACGCCAGAGCAGGCCCGACGAAAGTGTAGTCCGTCCCTGAGCCCGGTCTCCTCAGGGGATCTGGCATAGCTTACAAGGTTTTGCTTTTTAACTTTTAAATTCACATTAAAGTACATTATAACATTACATGTAGTACATAAAGATTATGTAATATCTCTATGTAATATTTTGTTGCATATTTCATAAAAGGCCTCGGTTAAATTTTAGGGATAAATTAAATATTTGGTGGGGCCCGGGAATATTATCCCTGAGAACTTTGGTTTCTTACCCTGCGCCAGGGGGAGGAATAGACAGAACCAAGAACGTAAAGTTGATTTTAAAGGACCTTTGATAAATATTTGCTGACGAATTATTAACCAATAAAATATTATCTTCTTATTTTTCTTTTTTATTAGGAAGCTTACGTTTATAATTTTTTCATATTTTAGGCAATAAAACTTCCAATCTTCTTCATACTTTTTTATTTATGCTTTTTGTTTCTTACATTTCGGGACAATTTTCCCATCATCAGAGTAATATTTTTATTTTTACATTCTTTTCTTGTTGATGTGGCATCATTTGTCAAAAATTAAATATTTGTCACATTTTTTAAACATTATTTGGTGTTACTTGAATAATTATATTATATAATTATATTATATTATTATATTATTATATAAGATAATATAATAATAATAATAAAATATTATTGTCATACATCTTGACCTGTATTCAAACCATATAAAAATAAATGTAAAAATTAATAAAATAAATAAATGTCAATAATTATGGAAATACTTCGATGATATTAATTCTATAAATGACAAATAAAGTCTAACTTGAGTAAAGTCACCAATATTATTATCAGGGTTTGAAACTTTTATAAAAATTTCCATATTAACAGTTTCTGTGTTACGTTTTAGGAGAAAAGCTCTTTTTTTTTTATTATTTCTTAATGATTTTTTACAACTGAATTGAAGAAATACATTTAGTAAATTTGAACATATAATGACTTGAAAACACTTATTGAGTAACTACCCAATGTTCGTACTCTAATAATATGTCTACATTCGCAGATTCAGACTTTTCAGACGCCTCGGAGGGTTATCAGGAATTGAAGAGGAAGCAAGATTAGAAACGAGAGGGTTGGGATGATTCTGAAGTTTATTTTATAAAGATAGGTATCTAGATTGGGCCAGGTCTGAAACATAAGAAACATTAAGGTCATTATGAATGGTTTTATTTGTAACAAAGTAGGGAGCATTGAGGATTTTACGAAGGAGTTTGGTTTGTAAGGATTGGATACGAGAGGAATTCGATGGTTTAGTGGAGCCCCATAGTCCAAAGTCCAAATAGGCCTTATTATAGTCATGTATATGAATGAGACTTTTGTAATTAGTTGGAAGTTTAGAGCGTTTTTTTTGTCGTTTCAGTCTGGTATGAGTATAAAAAAAAAATTCTTAAAATAAATGTTTAAGGAATTTATTGTAAAAAATTTCCAGGTAATATGGTGAAAGTGTAACTTGTATTTATTTAAGTTAAATTAAATTTAATATAAATTTTAAAAAGTCCCATTAAATGAAAAAATAAACATTAACTAAGCTTAGATTAGATTTATAATTTGCCTTAAATGAACTACAGGTGAATCTAATGTGTCATTTGTAGCTAAAAATAAAAATCATTTGGCAGATTAAAAAAAAAAAAAGTTTCTTAAAAATAATTGTTCGGCAAAACCTTTACTTGAAAAGTTGAAAGTGAAAAAGTTTTGGTTTCAGAAGAATTGAGAAACTATTGTATATACAATAAAAATTCCAGTGATACTGAAACTTTTTAAAAAAAATTTTTCTGTTTCAAACCGTGTACATTATGTTAACAGATTATTAATTCATCAATCAACAGAAAATATTATTATTATATTTTCTACACGGGACTATACTTGCCTTTCATCTGGCAAACAAAAAACTATTATCAAATGTCAAGATACCATGGACAACTAAACGGACTAATTATCATTCTAAGATCGTGTATCCCTCTCGATTTTTTTTCTTTCAGCAACTGCTGTTATGTAGGATTCGAAATTCCCAGTCCTAATCTGAAAAGATTTGTTCAAAGCATAAAATAATTATAAAGGAAAGAAATGACCCGGAGGGGCGGTCATAAATAGGCTAAATAGTGGCAAAACTATTTTATTAAAAGCCAACGTTTCGACCCGACTTTGCAGGTCTTATTCAGGGCTAGAACGGACAAGATACAAAAAGATAGAGAATTGTGGAAGTTACATAATATTTAGACAAAGATTTATAAACAATGTGAATAAGCTTGTTAAAATTATAAACAGTAAGTACATTCAAATATAAACAGAGTAAGCTAAGTAACAAGGTCCTTAACTGAAGTAAATAGATGGTAACTATTGTTGTAGTGTAATATATAATATATGGAAATGTGATTATACTTCTACAGATCTACAGGAGAGATTGAAAGAAAATGAAAAAGGATATAATATGAAATAATAGACATGAAGGAATGTGGAGAAAGAAAATAAAACCAAAAAATTAAATAAAATTAGAAGAATAAAATTAAAGACTTACAGGTGTGTTGTTTCTGAGTTTCACTTAGAACTGGAAAACCAGGGTAAGGGCAGGGAATTTGCTGAATTGTTTGGGTAATGGAGAAAAACCTAGAAAATTACAGTATCTAAAATTTGAAGATATGGATGGATACAAGGGAAAAAATACTATATCTATGAAATATTAAATTATAAATATATACATATACATATAAAATAGAATTAAGAGATTATATATAAGAGTACATTGTGGATAAAAACACTTTTATGACTGCCACCCCCGACCATCTCCTTCCTTTATAATGCAACGGTCAACTATTAAATATTCAATAAAATAATTATGCTTTTATCTAGTTGTATTAGATAGAATCATGCGGAATATTTACTTTTAAAATAATGTACTTTATATGATAGATAAAAATAGTATTATCTGAAACAATGGGATAAATGATCAGTAAAGACATTGCGAAAAGCCGATGGAAGAACTCTTTTCAGTGGAAGGCTGTCACATAGATATAACGACCATCGAGGTATAAAGAGAGCCTTTGAAAGGGGCGGAAATAGTTCCTCTCCTCTAGTTTTATGACCAACCGGTCCAAAGACTCTTACCTTTCATCTGGCAAACAAAAACTATTATCAATGAACTGGAGGCATGGGCCATCCCAGGCTCCTCTTAGTATAGCCCTGATAACTAAACCTCAACTCCTAGATAACAAGAACAAGATGAAACATTATTACAATGCGTCGTCCATCTTCTTGAGTTAAACTTTATCCATATAGAATCTCATGGAAATAATTTTCAATTTAAAAAATATAGAACTCAAAATGAAATAATTAGTATGTCACCAAACCCACTGGTGGATTCACGTGAGCTTTCGGGCTGAAGCTTCCTCCTTCCCTCCCAAATGGAAAAAGTTTTGTTTCATTGGTCCATCTTTGTTTCTGTAAATGATCTGCCCAGATTTTCTGATATCAGACAATGAAAAATTAATCGACGATCTCGGTCTAAGTGATATTTTGTTAAAGAAATTTTATATTTGCATTTTAAAATTTTCATCTCAAGGTAGTAAGTATCCTTGGTCCAATACTATACACAGTTTATCCCAACCCATCCAAACACCGTCATCACCACGTATACCGATGACACATGTATTCTTTCAGTTAATAACGATCAATCAATAGCATCCCTAAATTTTCAATCACACATCAAAACCCTTGAAGAATGTTGTCAAAACTGGAGGATTAAAATAAATCCCATCAAATCACCTTTATCCTTCGTCGTAAACCTATGACTTCCTGTCCTACAGTATCCTTTAATAACACCCCACTTATCCCTGTTGAGCAAATCCGATACCTAGGACTCCACCCGGACAAACGTCTCACTTGGAATCCTCATGCTAGACTGAAACGACAAGAAACCGCTCGACGTTTCCGATTACTTCAGCACTTACTAGACAAACGCTCTAAACTTCCAATTAATTACAAAAGACTCATATACTTGACTATAATAAGGCCTATTTGGACTTACGGAGTTGAGCTCCACTAAACCATGGAATTCCTCTCGTATCCAATCCTTACAATCGAAAATCTTCAATGCTCCCACTTTGTTACAAATAAAACCATTCATAATGACCTTAATGTTCCTTTTGTTTCAGATCTGGCCCAATCCAGAAACCTATCCTTCAGAATCATCCCAACACTCTCATTTCTAACCTTGCTTCCTCTTCAATTCCTGATAACCCTCCGAGGCGTCAGAAAAGAAGATGGCCCCGTGATCTCCTAATGTAAACATATCATTAGAGTGCTACCATTGGGTAGTTACTCAGCAAGTGTTTTTCATGTCATTATATACATTATGTTCTAATTTACTAGATGTATTTATTTAATACAGTTCTAAATGTCTTTAAGAAATAAAAAATAAATAAATAAAAATACATTTCAATTTTTTTTTATCTCTTGGTTACGTCAAGATCTGATAAGATTTCCATGTATTAATGTTATAAATTAAACAATATCGATGATTTCACAAGTTTTAGGTGTTAATTACACAATTTTACGTATTTTTGATTTTTATTGCACGATTTTGCACATTTTCAGTTTTTTACTGCACGTTTTACGGATTTTTACTGCACGGAAATCCGGTCTCTAGTCATTATATAATGGTTTATCAAAAGAAGAACTTTTTTTTTTTTAATTGTACCTTTTAATTGTAAAAAAGCTTTAATCCCAGATAGTCAGAAATTCCAAAGAGGATTTTTAATAGTTTGTTAATAAAAAGTCGATAATTCCACTTCTAAAGTGCTTTACGAGTAATTGGCATCTTGGAATCTTCATACTAGACTGAAACGGCAAGAAACAGCTCGACGTTTCCGCTTACTACAGCACTTACTAGACAAACGATCTAAGCTTCCAATTTATTACAAAAGACTCATATAAATGACTATAATAATACCTATTTGGACTTACGGAGTTGAGCTATGGAGCTCCACTAAACCATCGAATTCCTTTCGTATCCAATCCCTACAATCCAAAATCCTTAATGCTCCTTACTTTGTCACAAATAAAATAATCCATAAAGACCTTAATGTTCCATATGTTTCCGATTTAGCCCAATCCAGATACCTATCCTTTCATAATAAACTTCATAGCCATCCGAATCCTCTGGTTTCTAACCTTGCTTTCTCTTCGATTCCTGATAATCCTCTTAGGCGTCTGAAAAGAATATGGCCGCGTGATCTCCTTTTGTAGACATATTATTAGAGTGCTACCAGTGGGTAGTTTCTCGGCAAGCGTTTTCACTGATCATGTTTCTGTTTACACATTTGCTTGATGTATTTATATTAATACAGCTGTAAATATAAATGAAATTTTTTTTAAAAAATCATGAAATATTTTTTTAAAAAAGTTTTAGACAAGAAATGGTTTACAAATCATTCAATGACTTTTTTTTAATAATAGTAGTTTAGCCTAGGTGAGAGGGAAATATTTCATTGTCAATAACATGACTTATAGACTTTTGTCCCGCTTGATTCGCAATTTGCCCCACTGTGCGTCGTGTATCCCTCTCGATTTTTTTTCTTTCACCAACTGTTGTATGTAGAATTCAAAATTCCCAGTCCTAATAAGATGTAATTTTCCCCTTCTACTTGAGATAGGGAAGAGGAGGTATTGAACTAACTACCTCTTGGGGAGTCATTACACCAGCGGATAACTGCTTCAAGTGGGCGGGGGTATGCCAAGAGGGCTCTCCAACAACCCTACCGGTCCAACTCAACTTATCTTCACAACTAAAGTATCCTACTCAACTCCATTTCGCTACTTAATTATACTAATTTCATACCAATCTCAGAGCTCGTTTCCCAACTTCCCCTATGTATTTCCATAAACATAAATTAGGCATTTTATCAACAAAACTTCATCATTTTTCCTGATTTCGACCCATAGGGCTACTGGAGAACTGTGATTCCATTCTAGAAAGATTTTCTGTTTGCGAAAGTACAAACTTTTAGTATAGATTCCGTTTTCTATAAATTATATTAATATAAAAAATCTTCATTGATTTTAAGTTTCTCTTAGTAAAGGAAGTTAGTAAAATATCTTCTATTACCTCCTATCATTTACATATAGTTTTTTTTTTTTTTACACAAATGATTTTTTCATTTTTACTTTTTATTCAAACCAGGGCTTGAAAAGGAAAAAAAAACTTCCATTTTTATAAAGTACAACAAGAACTTTTTCCCTTGCGACTTATCAAGTAAACGTTTTACAGAACTTTTATTTTTAAAAAAACTTTTATTTAAACGTTCTGTCTATTTCGCTCGATGTAAAAAATTGCTTTTATTCTTATCTAAACGAAAATTAGAATCATGTGTAATTCTTTGAAGACAAATTATAACTCTAATCTAAGCTCAAAGCGCTCTCGCTGAAATTCCACTGGCTTTAGAAACAGTGACGCGGTTGAGAGAGTAGCGCAGGGATCTCTCGTAGTCCTGCTTTTCCTTCTGTAGTTGTAGGGAGAAGCTTGGCTTGGGGTCCCCTGCCTAATTGTATATATTGTATATAGGTATGACTGTGTTTTTATGTTTTTAACTTACTTATCTTTAGGTTATTTTTATTTTTTTATTGTACAAAGTTTTTGATTATAATTTTACTTTTGTTAATTTTATATTTTCTGCATATATGGTGTGAATGTGTTCGTATATCACTATAATTATTGTCCACGTGACAGATTGTTATATTTCTAAATAAATAAAAAAAATCTTAGCCCAGTTACTGTTTATATTTGATTTAATGCGTCTTTAATACAGAACTTGAATTACAAAAAAGTTTCTAACATCTTTTATTTTTAAAATCACTGTCTTAAAAATGTCCACAGAAACTGTTAAAATGGAACTTTTTGAAAAAGTTTCAAACCAATCTCAGATCTCTCTCCTTTGTATTTCCCCATACATAAATTTGGCATTTTATAATTAAAACTTCATTCCTTTGCCTAGTTTACACATGTTGGGCTACTGGAGAATGGGAACCATCATTAATAACGTGTTAATTAGCAGCACGGGCGGATATACTGAGGGGGGTATCTTTCAGGTTGAAGCCGCCCCCCTCCCCCTCCCCCCCTAAAGTGATAAAATATAACTATATTTTATGAAAAAAAAATAGCTCTAAAACTATTATTGTTCGTCTAATTACAGTTAATAGGACTTAAAGAATCACTTAAAGAACATATCATATAGGTAGTTAGTTTCTTTCTTCCTTCCGAAGTAATTATCCTAATATATTTATACAAAAACAAATCTTTCGGGCTTAAGCTCCCCTCCAAAAATCAAATCCTGAATGCGTTAGTGATTAGCATAGAACCCCGTTTACAATTTATAATACTTCATACACAATACCTTTTACTCCCTAACCTCCTATTCTACTTTTATACTATTCTACCAATTGTTATCAATAAAGAAATACAAAATTATATTATATGACGCTAACAGAAACTCGTTATTTTATTTACATAACTTATAATACATTACTGAAAGGTTTTAACCAGAAATGTTTTTAAAATTTATATTTGAATGTAAAAAGGATCCTATGTCACTTTTTTTTTTTAATACAAAACAATATTAGATTAATCAGATAAAAAATCTGAAATTATTGAATGTGAGACCTATGTATTTGTAAATACTAATAGGCTAACTAGATTTTTTTTTTACTTTCCTACCAATACTAGGTAAGGAAAGTATTGCAGTCGGGTCAAATTTCCGACATGCGGTTTTCGACGGATCTATACGTTTCAGAGTCCCTTGAGTCCGAAAAACACATTTTTAGCCATTTGTCTGTCTGTCTGTCTGTGCCAAGATTTTCTCGGGAACTACTGAACAGATTTTGTTGCTTCTTTTTTTATTTTGTAGGATTTTGACTGCTGATGCCTGTGACAGAAATTCGGTGCTCCATGGGCAATAGCTTGCGCGCAATAAATGAAAAACATGTTTTTCTATAGACTGTAGCGCAAAAACGGCTCTAACGATTATGATGAAACTTTCCTATAATGTTCTGATCATTGCTCTTTCAATTTTCATATATAGACTAAATTCTCGAACAAATTCAGGAAAAAAAGTTATAAAGAAAAGAAAAATTTTATGGGGCCTAACTCCTTAAGTATATAATTTATGGTAAAATTTATAATCAAACTTTTGAAAGGCAATTAAATTTCTAACAAAACAAAAAAAAAAATCATCGAAATCGAACCAGTATTAGCGATGATGCAGGTTATTCTAATTTTTACACATTTTTTTAACTTATTACTTTCCTACCTATACTAGGTAAGGAAAGTATTGCAATCGGGTCAAATTTCCGACATGCGGTTTTCGACGTGTCAACTATACGTTTCAGAGCCTCCTGAGTCCGAAAAACACGCCGTTCAGCCTGTTGTTTGAAAGGTAATGAAATTCCCTACAAAGCCATAAAAATATCGTTAATTTTGGACAACTATTTACGAAGTTAGGGCTATTCAATTTCCAATGTTAGGTTCCATATCCTGGTGTCAGAAAATGGTGAATGAGAGAATAAAGATGACTAAGTGAAAGTAAGAAAATCTGTTGCCCGCATCACACAATCTTCACTATTTCCTCTACTTTTAACAGAAGTTACCTACCTTAAACGGGTTTACATTGCTCTAGTTTATCAAATAAATCGTACTCAAATCTTATGTTTGATCAATTTTCAGGAAAATGTATCTACTTCAATTCTTTTTGTTTCTTCATGAACATATGGAGAGCTATAAAAACTTTTCTGAAATAGGTAAGGAAGTCGTGTGAGTGGACACACCAAATTTTTTTAAATAAGGATCACCATTTTCTTAGTACTTTTATAAATATAAAAGCTATTCGAAGAACAAACATATGTTTACATTAACTTAAACATGTATCACTTACCTAAATATTAATATTTCTTGTAAATTACTTTATAAAAAGTGATTTTTATTTATTTATTTTATTTTTTTATTCAGAAATATAATAATCTGTCAAGCGGACAATAATTATAGTGAGATATGATAACATTCATACCATATATACTGAAAACATAAAATTAACAAATGTAAAAAAGATAACTAAATAATATTCAAAAACTATGTACAATAAAAAATAAAATAATCTAAAGATAAGTAAATTAAAAACATAGTCATACCTAGAGGTGATTAACTATTTTCTTATATAATGAACATACCATCTCCCCCACAAAACTTATTATCTTAACATACTATATCTTAGCATTAGTACTATCAATCTTGACTTTTCTCACAACTTTATCATCGTTTAAATTGGTTAAAAAAATTAACTGAAAAAAATGTTTTCTCTACTCGAATAAACAATCTATACTTTAATAATAGTTTAAACTGTGCTCTTACCTTTATTCACAGTCCGTTTACATTCTCAAAAATTAATAATTTTATGAGGCGGAAATTTGATCGTTCAAGATCTCAAATATTGGTAAATACCTACCTAACTTTAAACATCTTTATCGCACACCTGTGACTATCTAAAAGACCAAATACTCTCTATTAATTATATGATATATTGAAATGTTAAAATTATATTTAAAAGTTGAACAGATTTTCATTATTATTGTTATTATTTTTTAGGATTTTAGGTTTGTACGATAGAGACCAACCAACCAACGAAGGGCATTCCTTGATCGGCTACAAGGAAAAATGCCACAGTTACAACTTCTTAGTAGAAAAGCAAAAGGAATTGTGCAGCTTAGATGAAGATATCATTGAGGTAGGCATTAGTTTTCTAAAATTAAAATATAATCTCTTAACTTGTGTTTTTTCTGTTCATTGCCATTTTTTCAACGGGACTTTTTACTATTTCCGCATGACATTTAAAGAATGGTAGAGAAAAAAAATGATTTTTGAAATCATCCATGTATCAAGAAGAATTTAATAGAACTGTTCCTTACCCTACTTGAGTAGAAATTAACTTAATCAGAATGGTAATTGAAAGCTCTGTGTATATGCGCAACGCACCAATTTTATATTATTTAATAATTATTTTCTCTCTGTTTTTTTATTTAATGAAATCTAAATATTTTAGTTTAAGGTCGTACAAGGCAATCAACAGTAACAAAACTAAAAATTTTCTTTAGTTATTAATATATACTGTTATATTATTTAATGAGAAATAAACATTTCGACACTAATTTCTAAGTTTCTAGACCAATTACGGTTTATTTTTAATTTAACGAAACTTTTTTTAAGAACTTTAATAAATAAAAGTTAATCGTTTACCACAAACCTAGTGCTTCATTACAAAAATGTTTCTTAGAACTTATATTTTAAGATCCTGTTAAAATGAATTTTTTAAAAAAGGTTTCATAAAAGCTTCTTTAAATTTATTTACAATAGATTTAACATAAAACGTTTGTTTTGTTTTTTCTCTCTAGGGGGTTTTAAAATTGTAAAGTAAAAAATTATATTTCAAGCTTATTATTTTATTATACATCTAAATGCGAGTAATTACTAGTAATTTTTTGGTAAATTATAGTGATTAGTAATCATTATCACTTTAATTAATGTCATCATTATCCAAATTAATAATCATGGATAAATAAAACATAAAATAAAAAAATCAAGTAATCATAGTAATCAAGAATTTTCATCCATAACGACCTTAATATTCCTTATGTTTCTGACTTGGCCCAATCCAGATACCTATCCTTCCATAACAAACTTCAGTACCACCCAAATCCTCTCGTTTCTAACCTTGCTTCCTCTTCGATCCCTGATAACCCTCCGAAGGCGTCTGAAAAGAAGATGGCCGCGTGATCTCCTTTTGTAGACATATTATTAGAGTACTACTAGCGGATAGTTTCACAACAGGTGGTTTCATGTTGTTATATTCTTGTGTTCACATTTATTGAATGTAATTTTATTTCTAATACAGTTGTGAATATTATAAGTAATCAAGAATATGATTAAATATACTTTAAATGTAGGTTCACAGATATTTAGCCAAGTTAATAATGAGGCTGAAATCAGGTTTTATTGTATCTGAGAAATAGTTCAGTAAAGTTGTAAATATTCGTTAAAGTTCCTAATGGATCCATTTTATTTTATTTTGTAATTTTGTAATTGTTTTTTCGATATTTTTTTTGTGACTAACATATACATACATATATATATATATATATATATAATTTATCTTTCAGGTGCTAAGATCCGGTATGAGAATGGCAATACAAGAATGTCAATACCAATTCAGTATGATTAGGTGGAATTGCAGCACTTTCGACGATTCACCATCTATTTTTGGCGCCGTTTCAAAAATAAGTAATTATAAATAATATGATCAGTGAATTTTCCTTCATTATTTTTTTAAACAGATCTGTTGGGAATAACTTCTGTATACATAAATATATAATTTTTGCATGTTAATTATTAGATATATTTTAATTTATGGCTATTAAGAGTACCTCATAGATAGATCCGTATTTATAAGTGACTAACTAAATGTTCTTAATCCAAATATTTCCGGTCATGAAAATAATTGAAGCAATAATCATTTTTTTTTTTTAAACGTAAATATTTATTTACGTCTAGAGACATTTATTTCGCCACTTATTAGTATGGTTAAATTGTTATGATAGAGATATGGGTAAAAAACACAGTTTTGATTAATAATTTAAGTCAGGGGTTGTCATAAGTGTTTGTGGCTTTATTAACCTCACTCAGTCTCAACCGGACTGGTAATGCCGGTGATGCGGCTGAGAGAGAAGAGCTGGGATCTCTTAGAGTCTCGCTTTGTCCTTCACACGTGGGGGAAAGGGCTGATCTTGGAGATCTCTTGCCTGATTGTAAATATTGTAATTAAGTATGAATGTTTTCCTTGTTAATCTTTTTTTTTATCTATTTATTTCTTTTACTTATAATTAATTTAATTTTGCTACGAATTTCTGTATTTTATTTAATTTTAACTCTAAGTTACATTTCCTTGGTTCATTATAGTTTTTGCCTTTGTTATATAGCTGTATATATTTTTTAATTTATTTTTTTATTGTATTGTATATATGGTACGAATGTGTCTCACTCAGCTTTATTACTCAGTGCCCTTAAGTGTGGCAAAATGTATTATTTCTCAATAAAAAGTTATATATATAAAAAAAAAAAAAATCAGGTGTCTCAATACATCTACAATCCGGCCAGCAAAAGTTTCTTTGATTACATGGTAAAATTTTAAAAACTATTACAAAAATATGAACTTTAGCAAATTAATCGCACAAGAGGTTATTATAACATTTACTACATGGGCTTTTTCTTTTAGAAAGCTCATTTCACAAAAAGTGTCATTTATAGAACAAGATTTTTTTTTCATCATAAGCAATGGCAATCCGTAATTAGTAGAGGCTTACAACAACAATGCAGCCCGCGGGACTTGCGAAAAAAAAAATTAAAGTTTTGCAATGATTTATTGTTGTAATTTTAGCTTAAAACACGGCTCTTTTTAGGTGACAGGATATAAAATCACATAATGTTTTTACAAAACCTGAGGTAAAACTTTTCCGTAACAAACCTCAACTTATTCAATATGCAAGTTTTAAATAAATCCTTATTAAACGAGGAAAGTTTTCTAAAAGTGGGATATCAGTAGTATTGTTAGATGTCATTAAAAAAATGTTCTAATAATATATATTTTTTAAAAATAGAACTTCGTTTAGCACTCAAAAGTCCCCTTTGAATGATTTTAACAATGATAAACTCTTATCTACTTTCGAAGTAAATTTTGTGTTCTTTGCAGTGAAGGAATTGTTAATTAATTTAATTAAATATTTCTTTATTTGGCCCATTATTTACATCAACATTTTTGTAACTCCTGAGGATTGCTATCACCTCTTTAAACATTTCCCTCTACTTATGCGAGACCCTGTATATATAAGAATGTGGTGACTATATTTTTTAGACGAAAATTCGAAGTGCTTATACATTTTTCATCCACACCATCCCCTATATCCAATACGGAACCCAAGCCTATATCCAAGAAGAAATACAACTGTTGTTATTAGTCAAGGACATTCTATTCTAGGAATTTGTTTTTGTATGCCGTTTACTAAAATATTCATAACTCCTCAGACTTTTCATCTAAATCAACGTTACTACAACCATTAGAGAGCTAAATTATTGCTCTACAAAACCATTTTGAAAACTTTTAGATTTTACGCCTTTATAAGAAATAAATAAAGAATAACTCACCAGATGTTTTTATTTTTTTATTTCCGAGCCTAATTTATTGGCGGGTGACTGGTTCATGTCATTTTGTGTGTGTTATAGGACCCTAAATTCCAGTTAATTTTCGTGGGAATAAGTGGAGGCAACGTTATCACAATGGCTACGTTATCACAATTTTTGTAATTTTTTTAGAAAAAAAAAATCGAAGGCTCCAGCTAGGCGAAAATTTTGAGCCAAAAAAAGTTATTTATCGATTGGTATTTCTCATTAAAAAATGTTTTGAACCCACTAAAAACGAATCTGAGTCTTTTTTTTAGTGCTTGCCTAGTTTACAGGAAGCGTCTATGGGTTTTTGTAATTTATTATACACTAGAGTTCGTTTAATACAATTAACAATATGTTTTGTCTTATTTTACACACAAAAAAAAAAATCGATTGATGATCTTGCGGACGTGGGAGCCAAGCAAGCACTGCCTGGCAGCAAGGCCGGGTGCTGCCATATCAACATCGCATAACACAAGCCTTTCCCTCAATGGAAATAGTTCTTAGCTGGCAATCCATGTGAGACGAGAGCCCACCTAGCTAGCTGAAGGAAATCAAACAATCTGCATTTATTTCTTTTTTTACCCCATAATAATTTATTATTGAAATGAAGATCGGATAGGCGTTGATGACCTCTAAGGGTTTTACCTCTCTAATCACTAAATAACAACAACAACAAATCGATTGATAAATAATAACTTAAAAAATCCATTTAGAGGCAGAAAAAAATAACAAAATTTTATACAGAAAGTTTTTTTTTCGGCTGCTAAGGCGCATTGGCAAAAACCCTCGGACACGAGTCTAATATTTCTCGACCTAGCATAACCAACAAATGTTTCATTGGAATCGATGACTCCACGTCAGTAACCTCCTCTTGTCAGTGGGGTATAGGAATCAATATGAAAACTTTTAATGATTTGAAACTTACTTAATTACTTATGCTTTCAAAATTTAAGTAATATCACGCTCTATATTATTTTACAGAGAGTAGAGAGACAGCATTCCTTTATAGTATATCATCAGCGGGTGTAACTTACTCAGTAACCAGAGCTTGTTCCAGCGGAAAATTGACAGAATGCAGTTGTGATCCGAGGGTGAGGCTTCGAAAACCGAGAAAACATTGGCAATGGGGTGGTTGCTCAGAGGTAAGATATTAATCATAATTGAACGATCGTTTTCACAAGAGTTCCTGCCTTTTTTTTAGTTCATTCATATTTCTATCTCCACCTGAAATAAAGTTTTATGCCCCAATTTCATTAAGTAATGCCAATTGCTTATATAAATTAGAAAATGAACTAATATATACATTAATTCGAAAATGATTCTGTTTCGAATAAAAGCATCCTATTAGTTAATACACTATAGACAAATCGTTTAAATTATGTGGACATTTTATAAATCGGATTCACAGATATACATGTTGAAGTAAAATAATCGATGACACTTAATTTTTTATTTTATACACTGACAGGCAAAAAATTCCACCCACTTGATTTTTTCATGTTTTCATCTAAAAATATTTCTGCTTTGGTTTGGTCTATTGTTTTTAATGAATAAATATGTAATCTTTTTGTTTGTTTTCAATGAATGTTAACAAGGAATGTTAATATAGAGGACAATAACACTTAATCCTTAATTCAATGAAATGATTCTAGATTCCAATGTTTACTTTCTATGGAATCAAAATGTTTATTCAGTAATTAATCATTATGTTTATCATTAGTTCAGTGCCGTTTCTTGCAGCACATTTCTTAGTCTCCGGCTTTTAATTTTTTCAATATCAAGTTTAAAAATGCCTCTTAGTGCTGAGGATGTTGCGCGTGGTGTGGTACTTATTGATGATGGACGTTCCATTAGATATGCAACTAATGCCATCGGAGTTCCATATGAAACTTTACGAGACGCCGTCAGGCGTTTTCGGGAAACTGGTTCTTACAATAGAATTAAGGATTAAGGGTTATTGTCCTCTATATTAACATTCCTAATTGAAAACAAATAAAAAGATTACGTATTTATTCATTAAAAACAATGGACCAATCCAAAGCAGAAATATTTTTAGATGAAAACATGAAAAAATCAAGTGGGTGGAATTTTTTGCCTGTCAGTGTATTTTTACCTACTATCGATATCTAGTGTGAATCTCGATATCACATGTTTGTAAAAAAAGGTGTTACTTTGTATTATTATAATTGTATTGATTAAATAAGATATATAATTTTGTTCAGACATATTTATTACGGCCAATCAACCAAGAACTCAGCATAACAATTAGTAACATGCATTACCTACCATCTACGTAATAGCAATAATAATTACTAAAGATTATAATATCACTCGTTAATTTTACAATGTTTACTTTTTATGTACATTTCGGGTCATATTTCTTTGGTTTCCTTAGGTATGAATACTGCCAATTTGAAGTTTAAAATGTTGAATTTTACTCTTTCAGGATATACATTATGGAGAAAAATTCAGCAGAGAGTTCATAGATTGCTATGAAGATCCAAATACAGCAGAAGGTTTAATGAATTTGCACAACAACGAGGCAGGGAGACGAGTGAGTACTATTATCTATTTAGCAGCTTATTGGGATAGTATTTTTTATAGTTTGAATAAAATTTTATCAAACGTTTTTTTTTTAATAATAATTTAACCAAAAAGTTGTTAAAATAAATTTGTATAGATTGGAAATATTTGTTAAGTTTATTAATATACAAAATATTTAGTTTCACAATCGATATTTTTTTTTTGTCCACCTTTTCCTCGTCTTTTAGACTATATGTTTCTTCCCAGTCCAGGGGGGGGGGGAGGGAAGGAAGATTAATGACTGAGTTAAAAGTCCCCCGTGTACTCATAATTAATTTATCATAGACAACCTCCGAATTGCTCGGTCGGCCATTCCATCCACTTGCTTTACTATTTCCATAACTATACCGTTTTACCAATACTTAAAAATATTTACTTACATATGCATTGTTACAGGTTAAGCGTTTTCACAAACTTTTCCCCTTGAATTCTAAATACTCAGATATGATGCGATTCCTTAGCATTCGTTAGTAGTCCGTTATATTTTAGATATTGGTAGTACGTTTTGCTTTTATCAAATTAATTAAGACGGCTCATATTTTGAGTTCTTACTCCAACTGTATGCTTATCAACGATATGATTACGTACTTTGATACTATACATTCTTAACCATAAATATATATGTATGTTTCATTGATTTAGTGAGAAATTTTTGGATATTGCAAAGGCTAATGAAAAAGGTTTGGGTCACCTTCTAAAAACCCCCATCTACTATTTTTATAACTTTAACCTATGAAATTTCATCCAGTTGAAATATAAGAATAATTTTTGAACATGCCTTATCTTGGACGGAAACCATACCCGGCATTTGCCATCATACAATATATTCACTGCTCAATCGCTTTAGTTGTTCATTTCAATTTTAAACGCAATTGCCCCCGTTGCCATATTCGTTTTATTGTGCTGTATGTGAGAACGTCTCTGGGATCTCAAGATCAGTCAAAAACTGATTAATAATTACTTCGAATAGTTTTTCTTGGCGATGTAGTACTTACATACATTCCTCTTTGTCTTATGCATATTTGTAGTAGCTTTACCCTTTCTAACATACCTAATATTTTCGGAAACCTTTTTTCCGCCATATTCCATATTATAATGTCCTTTATATGATATATACTCATATATGAACTTTTTCCACTTCCTTTCCCTCTAGCCAATTAGATCTCTATGCTCCAACAAACTAAACTTGGCACATACAGAACCATTTCTTAACCAAACTTAGTTCCATAAGAATTTTCTTTCTTTCCATATAATCCTTCCCCATACCATGTATGAATGAGAAGATTTTTTTTAATTTTAAATTTTGCTAAAGCTTTTGATTCAACTAGTTTTACTATACGGCTCAGTTGTTGCCGAGAGGTAGATACATAATAAGAAATTGGCGTTATTTGTCTAAGATTTTTTGTTTTTTTTAACTAAGGCCAAGAAGATGGAAAATTATAGCTATAAGAGTATTGTTGCGCAGCACAGTCAAAACGTCAAGATACATTTTTTTGGGTGGAATTGGAGAATTAAGAAAAGGTGGAGTAGTTTCCAATATTCGACGAAAGTATCTTGTAGTTTCATATATATATATATATATATATATATAATATATATATATATATATATATATATATATATATATATATATATATATATACATATTCATTTATTATTTTAATAAACCCTCTAATTTCTAAGGTGACATAAAATAGAAAAGCGGTTTGATGAGATACATCCTTACCAATTTACAGCGAAGGAAGGACGAATCCAAGGAGAAACTTACTTAAAAGTTAAAATAGAAGCATTTATGATTATAAGTTTTAAGAGCAACAGAAGAGGTTTATGAGGAATATAACAAATTACTTGAGGAATCAATGATGTTATAGAATAAAGTGTCAGATCACGAGATGGTAAACAGGTAGGTTCAACGGAATTAAGGAAATAAAACAGTTCCAATAGGTTTGACATATCAGGAAAATTGGAATGCATTTTTTTCTATGAAAGCTCCAGCAGTAATTTTTTTTAATGTAAAATAAGTTTTAGGGAAAAATAAATATTCGAAGGAAGGTCCAAAATATACTTCAAGTGAATTACATATGCGTGAAATATCAAGAGAAGTGGAAAGAATATTTTAAGGGCCTATTGGAAAGAAGAAAAGAGATGTAAGTCAGAACGAGACTCCGATTACGGTGCAAGATGATTGGCATCGAGGAAAAGCTGCAGAAGGCCATCCCCAAGATGAAACTCGACAAGTCAACGTAACTGGATGTAGTCAATCCGGACGTGATGAGGTACATGGGTAGCTAAGGCAAAGAAATCTTTCTTCACCTTTTAAATCTTGTTGGAATTAGAAAAAAATCCAAGGACTGGGAGGTCGCAGGCTTAGTGCCTATATATATACATATATATCGGGGAAGACAACAGGGATGATATACTCGAAAATCGTAGATCGTGGATCAGAAGAATCATCGAAAGCCATGGTGGAGATGTTAGATACGGGTTTAGGAGTCAAAGCCAATAGGATCTGATTTTGAACATGCGGAAAATCACATGAAATGTGTCGAATGTTAAGGAGCTCTCGGTGTCATTCGTAGATCTCTGTAAGGACTTTGATAAAGTTAGGAAAGAGGTTATGTGAGTGCTCTGGTTGAGAAAGTAAATAGTAAATTAGTAAATGCAGTTCTCCCTATAAAATTTGAAATCTTTTTATAACAAGTAATCATACATTTCGAGAGTTTGATAAAACTGGGTATACGTGAAGATTGGAGACCGAGTCCGCTTCTTTTTGTAATGGTTATTGATGTGGCATTAAAGATAACAAAGTAGAGCATGCCATTTTTACGGCTTGGACACAAGCCTATATATTCAATATATACATATAGCCTATATATAAAATCAAATAACAGCCTATTATTTATTTCCTGCTAACGTTTGCTGGCTACCTCAAGTTAAGCCACGAAATTATGGTTTCAAAACAATATTAATATCTTCCAAGAAGAATTAAGAACATATTAATCGATCTCAATTCTTCCTCAAGTCAACTCTTAGAAGACGAAATTTATGTGCATAGGAAGGAAACTTCCTAAGATTATAAAGGTGCTGAGGGTGGATGACTAGCGTTTAGTGCAGAGTGAATGTTTTAAATAACTAGGCGCTCAGCTCAACAAAAGTGGATATATCGACGAGAAGCAGGAATACGAATAGGAGTTATAGGAAGGATTTTTTGCGCAGTCCTGCAAAAGCCATTTATCGTTAATAAAGCGAGAGGTCAAGGAGACGAAGATGATTATTAGTTCCTTCCTATTTTCTCGTATCCTTCCGAGTATGAAACCCTAAAATAAAATCACAGGGACCAAATTCAGTTCCTGGAGGTGAGATACCCGTTGAAAGTAGAGTGCAAGACCAGACGAGACAGAAATCGAACTTTTTTTGGTTTACGTTAAATATCTCCTTTTCAAAGCGAGGTAGATAAGAAATGGTTATATTTAAATTTGAACAACTTAAAATTATCTAACACTTTTTTTCTAAACACAACAGGAAGCGGACTATCGGGCTTTGGGTAAAGTTTTCAAAATTTACAAAAAAAACATGTATAATTCGTTGTTTTCAACTAATCATCTGTTTTTATAGGTGACTTGGCTCAAATTGTTAAATTAAATATGAAATCACACACAATTTACTACATCTTTTATAAAAAAACTTATTTTTCTAAACCTAACAACTCTAATATAAAAAAGAAATTAATCTTTTTTAACGAAATTTGTCTTCAACAATTAATGTTTTCCTTATTACGTTTAATGCCACATCATTCAGTACTCATAAATGGCATGGTTATATTGCTGTATAAGAATATAGGAAGTAAAAAGAAAATACAATCCTTCCCTACCTTCGGTAGTGAGGAAGCAAAAACATTATTTTGGACAATTAAGTTATTGCATTAATATATTTTCGTTAATACAATCAAAATAATGTACTAAAAACGTTATCATTTTATAATAACGTTATTATGCCGTTCATGAGTGACAGAGTTATTGTATTATATTGTGCCATAATGATGTGGCAGAGGACTAGGCGCCTATGCCACTGCCGCTTTTTCGACGATTAACTGTATTCTTTAAGTAACTTCTTCGAATATTTTAAAAAGTAATTACTGTTTGGGAAATAGAAATTTATTCTCCACATGTTTTATTTCAAGGCGTTTTTCGTTATTGTTGGCCATTTATTTACAAAAGACGTTTGATTTTCAGCTTTAGTTTGAAAAACAATTAATTTACTGGTGTGTTTTATTGCGAATGCCAATTGTTTTATAATATTTTTTTATATTTTATTATTATCTAACCACCCAGCTTTAATCAAAGGTCAATTATGACGAAATTAAGCCAAATGCTGAACCTCAGTGACCGAAAAACTAACTCAAGATAAAGAGGTGAATCCGCTATATTTGGACGACATTTTGGGACAGTTCGGTCAGTTTTTTCATGAAGACATTGGCTTTTTTTTGTTAATAAACGGTTAAAAAGGACAGAACTATATGAAATTTATTTAAATTTGGGGGGAGGGGCACTGTAGGGGGTTCTGGTCCATCGTGTAACATACTTTTCAAAACACCCCCCGACTGCCGTCTACCATTTCAGTCAATGGCTCCTCCAAATTCTCTGAACAAAGTTCAAAATAGAGTAACAGAATCCTTCCTTTAAAAATTGAAAAAGAAAAATCGAAATGAGTAAATTTTGAAAGCTCGATAGTTTGCTTCCTTTTGGGTTTAGAAAAAAATGTTATGTACGAAAATTTTAGATAATTTTAAGTTGTTCAAGATTAGATATAACCAATTTTTATCTATCTCGCTTTGAAAAGGAGATATTTAACGTAAACAAAAAAAAGTTCGAAATTTCGATGGTTTCTGTAGCACTGCAACGAACCCACGACGCTATCAAGGGCGGGGAACTAGGATTTTTTATATTCACCAAATACCTAACAATATAAAAAAGAAATTTGAATTGCCCGACCTTTTGCGAGGTAACATGCCTAATTTGACTGGGCTATAGGCATCAGCCTTTGTCGCTGATCAAGATAGGTTCTTGTAAATCAAGATGGCTCTTGTGTGTTGTACTGATAACGAGCAACAAGTATACATCACACCTCCTCCCCCTTTCACAGTGGCGAGACTTTTGTTATATATATATATAACATACAAGGTGTTTCGTAATTGCACGGCACTATTTTAGGTATTTATTCACTAACACAAAATAAACAAAAAAGTAAACATTAACATGTATCTCAAACTCATTTATTAAACAGATATTAAAGGTTACAGATGTATTATTTATTATTACTATTTATTTATTATTACTATTTATTTATTATTATTACAACATTTAGAGTAACATTCAGCCCGACGAATCCATGCTTCTCTGGCTCTTCGTGTAACATCAGGATGGTGCTTGATAGTTACTGCGGCTTCCACGATCCGATTTCTCAGCTCTTCTTGCGTCCGCAACTGCCGCAGAATAAACCATAGACTTCATTCAGCCCCACACAAAATAATCTAATGGCGTTAAATCCGGAGAACGTGGTGGCCATTTAACAGGTCCGTTTCGACCAACCCATCGGTCTCCACAAGTTGCATTTAAATAATCAGTGACACTATTAGAAAAGTGAGCTGGAGCACCGTCATTCATAAACCGCAGCCTTTGCCTAATTCCTAGCGGAATATCTTCTAGGCAAACTTTGTACAGTCAGTCTTAATGTAGTAAATAAATAATAAATCTTTAACCTTTGATATCTGTTTAATAAACGAGTTTGAGATATCTGTTAATTTTTTGTTTATTTTGTGTTAGTGAACACTATTTTGTGTCTCTGGTATAATGTACACCTGAACTCCAAGTCTCGGATGAAGCAACTGTGCCGTTGCATATCAATCTACATCTACATTTCCACTAAATGGGTGCAGTTTAACATGCCCAACAAATGTTATGTTGTCTCAAATATACATATGCATGCATCTTAAGGCTTCATATTATTTTCGTAGTATTATCAATTAAAAAACTTTAAAGATTCGACATTATTATGATTTTTTTTTCGTATTAGATTAGTAAGTTAAAGGAACCCGTTCTTAGGGATATAATTAATTTCAGTAATTCCAAAAACTTTTCATTAAAATAAAAACTTTTGAAGCTTCACCGGGATTCGAATTGTAATCGATTTAAATCCGGATAATATTTCTATTTTAAAAAGCCTCAAAATTTATTTGAACAAACTTAAATGGCTAAACTAGCCTGAAATAATCATAATTATCTCAATTAGGTTCATCTTAAAGGAACGATCCTATCCTCTGCTTTAGGTGGATAACTATTATCTAAATTCCCTCTGTGGCCTAAAAATAAAATATTTAAATGTACTGATTTTTAGGTAGATCGTTCGAGAGTGATAATGCATATGCGGTGTGCCATGTAAAGAGATACGTCACAGGGCAGCCTTGGTACGACAGAAGCCATCTCCTCCTAACGGTCAGGTAACCTGCTATTGTAGCTCTTAATACTAAGCTGTATCACGAAAAAATTATATCCCTGCGTTCGGGCCTCATTTTTTTTTTTTTTTTTTTTTTGTTTTTTTGTTTTTGAGCAAGCTTTTACAAACTGGGTCGTTCGGTTTCCTCAAATATTATAAACATCATCTTGAGGCTTAATTTACATTTCATACTAGGTAATTGTGACATACGCAATCGTTTTTTCAAAGTAAGAACAGGAAGTAAATAGAAGCGTTATGATTCTCAACGCCTAATTAATTACTTTGCAGTATATATTTACCGTGAAGAGCAATTTAAAAGCAGTTCTTAAAAGAGTCGTTTCATTTCATTCTTATGAGTTTTATTGGTAATTTATAACTTCTCACTCAAGCAAAGCACTCGCTCAAGTTGAATTTATGTTTATCTATCGATTAAATGAGAATGGCATTGAAGATAAAATGAATATTGATTAGAAAGAGAAGTCTTATTGATTAATTTATCAGATAAATTATTCCGATGGCTGACCTGCGAAACGTATTCATGAATCGACTTTCTGCAAATTAGGTCTTTGCATTCTGGGTCGAAATCACTTGAAGGTCTCTCATTCACCCTTTATTACGTTTTCATCCGTTCAACGGTTAGACATAGTTTTATTTTTGCATTAAAATTTTGAATATGGTTTGGAAATATGTTAGCATTATCTTATTTAGATGATACGGTCAATTCCGGTTTTGTGATCAATATCTAAAATTGTAACTCGTAGCCTTCTATCGGTGCTTCCACCGAAATGTTAATTTATTATTTTAAGAATATCGCACTCCCTACTTGATGGATATGGAAATATCTATCACAACTTTTTCATATCAAAAAGGATCATTTATTACTGAACGCAGTAGTGGATTCATAATTCAATTAGGAGGCTAAATTCGGGAACAATAGTACTCTTGCAATAAAATATGTATATTTTTATTTGACACGTTCTTACATTTTGTAGCATACACGTTAATGCGTTATAATTTACCGATATCATTAATAGCAACGGTCCTTGCCTACAAATTTCTTTCTAGTGAACATCATCAAATCCAGATCTTCAAGATCGAATTAGTTATTAATATTTTAGAGCTAATTGGTTTTAACTGCATTCATTTTATTTCCTCATAGTATCAACCATTTGTATACTAATGTGAACATTAGATCCTTTGATCGTTTGAGTTTCCTTCCTAATGAAGTGTCCCAAAGTAAAATTAAACGAAACTGGAGACAAAAAAAATCTCGCCGTTTAAATCTGAACGTACCTTAAACTATTCCGAATAGAAAGTTACATAAACCGATTCAAATTATATTATATTGATCGACCATGCACATCCTAACTATTTTTTTTTTTTTTTTTTTTTTTTTTTTGTATTTCCTATTCAATCAAAATAATCTACACCTTCAGACGTCCAATAAAAATGTCAGCCTTTTTGAAATCTACATAAGGCTAACGAACTACACATTAGTATTTTAACTTTTTCTCTAATACTTGGAGCGTGGAAAATCCTTGATCAAAGATTGAACGGTTTCGCCTAAACAACAATGATATCCACCAGTAATTCCAACATTTAATAATTCGATATAAATATAATATATAATAAATTTAATAATGTATATAATTTTTGCATTATATATAAACGACAGCCCACGACAGGAAGGCATGGACTTTGGTGTTGCAGGATGTCAAAACTCGCCTTCGAATTGTAGTGCTAAAGTAATAATAATGATAAACTTAATAATATATAATGAAATATAAGCTGGTAGAATCAAAAAAGAAAATACAAAACAATCACCCAGCCGGATATATCCATGTTATGAAACTATAAAAAGCGATTATCAAGCAGGATTCAGAAAAAAAAGAGCACGCTAGATAACATTCTAAAATTTGGTACTCGATAAAAGATGGGAAGTATGTCAGAATATGCACACTTTATTAGTTGATTTTTATCATTCCGGTAACAGAAACTGTTTGAGAGGTCATGAATGAATGGAGTTACAGAGAAATTGGTAAAATTGACAAAGGCGATAAAAAATTATCCTAAGGTCCGAGATTAAAAAAAAAAAAAAAAAAAAGGAGAAGAATATGAAGCATAGGAAGTTCAACTCTCGCTGATGATGTTTAAATTAGCCCTGGAGATAACAAGCATATCACCTAAAAATGGAGGATATGCGGACAGATTCAAGCGGACAGACCCACCATCGAAAATAGACTACAGTATAATAAGCATAAACAGAAATTTCTTTTCTCTTTCACGGGTACGGCAATCCCTAAAAATATCTAGAATCTCGAATTAGGAGGGTACAGTGCAGCATAAAGCCAGCTGCAAAATATGGCATCGAGACCTGGACACTAACCAGTACCTAAGAAAGGTGAATTGAAAAATTTGAGGAAAAATTAATACATGAATATGGAACAAACTGGGATTGGAGTTAGTGTTGCCCAAATGCGAGACCGAGACGAGTCTTGGTCTTGCAAACTCAGTCTTGGTCATGCTCTTGCGCAAGAGTCTCGCAACAGTCTTGCAGTTACATATTAGATTATTTCTATAGAGAAATTACTGTCATTTTTTAGATAGAAGAAATCTAACTAAGCCCGAATGAAAAATTAGAGGAGTTAAATGGAAAAGTATATTGGTTATACCAATTATTAACATACAGTAACTAAAATTGTCGAGTATTAATAACTATTTTGCCTTAATTTTTATTTAAAAAATAGATTTTTTTTATCACTCCTGGTCTTGGTCTTGCAACAGTTAGGCGGCCTTGGTCTTGGTCTTGCAAAGTGCAAGACCAAGACCGATTTTGGGCAAAACTAATTGGAGTACGGGGGAGAAGATTCAGTACATAATTACTTTCTGAAATTTGTACATATAGTTTGTATCTCATTATATGAAGTCAAATAGATTAAGATGGGCAGGACATTAGTTAGAAGTAATCCTTCGGCAACCTTCTAATCAACATAGATGTTGTAAAGAAGTATCCCAAGGTAGACAAAGGTGGATAAGGCTGGTTCAGGGGATCTCTACATCTGTTACGTGAACAGGAAAAAAAACATGCTGTATTAATAGAATATCTAGAATACGTTATAAATATTGAAGTAACACTAACTATTATAAAGAAAGTTTGTCTCTTTTATAGAGTAAGGGCCGATCCAGTTAAAATTATTTCTTTTAAGTAAACCAAACGATGCTCCTATGAAGCTTTATAATTACTAACTAACGGATAGTTTGATGTGTGCTATGCTGGTTATTTATTTACAAATATATAAGTGCTGTACTGACTTCTTATTTTATTCAGGACCACCTATTATGGTGACTTCAATAATAATATTGTATGTATATTTTCATTGTAAAGATTAAAATATCGGTACCATTTTAGTCCATGAAAAGTATGAATTCATACTGATGTTAGTAAGAAAATTTTGTCTCTAATTTGAGATTATTTGACCGAGATCATGTTCAACCGTCAGGTTTTGTCCTCTAATTAAATTAATTAAGAATACACACTTATACAGGCTGGGTATGCTCCTAAAGGGTCTTCTTATACCATTCGATGTACTATTAATGTATATTATCCTGTTTTCTATTAACATTATACACCAGGGGTTTCCAAACGTTTTGGCCCGTGGGCTCGACATCGACTAAGTTCCGCGGGCCATGGTTTGTGATGAAAGAAACAAATCTTGTTCTATAAAGGACACTTCATCAATCAAATGAGCTTTCTATAAAAAAACAAGCAATACATGTTGTAGTAAGCTCCGGTGTGAGTAATTTGCTAAATCTAATATTTTTAAAATTTTACCATGTATCACGGGCGGATCTACGGGGGGGGGGGCTTTCGGGCTGAAGCCTCCCCCAAAATGGTAAAATATAAGCATGTTTTATCGGAAAAAATACTAAAAAATTATCTCTTAAAGTATAATTATTCGTGTAATTACATTTAAAAGGGCTTTAGGAATCACTTAAACACCAGTTCGTATAGGTACTTAGTTTCTTTCGTATTTTCCAAAGCAATTATCGTTACTTTTATGAAAAAAAAAGCTTTCGGGCTGAAGCCCCCCCAAAATTAAATCCTGGATCCGCTAGTGCCATGTATTCAAAGAAGCTTTCGCGGGTCGGATTGAAGCTGCTTGCGGTCCGTAGTTCGGAGACCCATGCTATAGACCGTGAAGATCTTTAGCCGCGCGATGAGGTCTTATTACGGATGTATATTGTTTGTGGGAGTACGGATAGCCTGACCCCCTATACACGAGAGTCTCTATTTCATTCCCTAAAACAAACCAAATCACTGAAGAGCTACTAGCATTCTGTAAAACCACATAGATTAAAGAACTCAGGGTAGGTCATGTCTCCTACGCCCTGGATGGACCTCTGGATACCCATTGAAGTCTCAGACCGCGTGGCATTAACAAGGTTGACATTAACAGAGGAATGTTGGAGTAAAGTGCTAGGGAAGAAAAGAAAGACATTCAATTGGTCTGTAACAGGGAGGCTCTTGATGTGGTGAAAGAATATACCTACTTAGGGACTGTAATTCATAATTATGTTAAAATAGACGCTGAGATTCGAAGATTCGTCGGGTACCGTGAAGTGAATAAGAAGACCAATTTGCATGTATGTAAGTCTGTGTACCTGCCTTTTCTCACCTACCTATGGCGGAGAAAGCTGTACAGAGATTACAGTCTCATAACAGCAGCAGAAATTGTAAGAACATAATCTCTTATCGGTGTAGATCGGTGGAATAAATTAGGAGGTATCACAAAATAAATGTAGAAGAGAGCAGCTGAAAGTACCTAAACTCAGAACCACATTGGAGAACAGATAACTCAAGTGATTTGCTCATGTCTGCCACATAAATGAGGACATGGGCCCTATGAAGCTATTAGAGGCTCGACACACTGGGAAGAGTTTCATATCAGGAGTTCATGAGGAGGGTTGGAGATAGAAGAGGCAAATCCCTCAACCTAATGAAACGGTTAAGCAGAGACCGGGAAGAATGGCTGAGCTAGATAGAGGCTCCTCGACGCTAACAGAAGTAGCTCTTCCAAAAGATCAAGGAAAAAAAAAATATTGAAGTATATAGAAAACTGCGCATACATTTTACCTGGAAGTATGAACATATTACTAAAGCATAACTTGTTCTGAAATTATGCAAAAATTTATAGATAACGATCTGACTAGAATTACAGAGTATAGAAAGGAAACGACAAAAACTTGTCGCCTGAGACCAACTAGGACCTTAATGTATATAATAGGAGATGGTTCTGTCAAATAAAAAAAATACCCTTATTTGAATTCAAGCAACAAAAATCAGGGGTTGAAACTTTTATAAATAGTTCCATTTTAACAGTTTACGGAGTTAAGCCGTAAAACCTGTAGGTTATTAAAGCCGTTAATTAAATTTATATATATATATATATATATATATATATATATATATATATATATATATATATATATTTTTAAACTTTACTATTTAATTGGGAATAAGGTCACTTAATTATTATTTAATAAACTAATGAATGTTCATTTCTTCTGTTTATTGACGTTTCGATCCCGGTATTTTCTTTTTATTAGTCAACCATGGGTTCCTCTTCAAAGCTAGAATTTTAAAAAATAGAGCTTCGATCAGGCCAGGGACACACCGACAGTCTCAGCACCGTCCACTATCATATATATTAAGCTACTGTATATATATGTAGCTTAATTATATATGTAGCTGTATATATATACAATAGCTTAATATATATGCTAGTGGACGGTGCTGAGACTGTCGGTGTGTCCCTGGCCTGATCGAAGCTCTATTTTTTTAAATTCTAGCTTTGAAGAGGATCCCATGGTTGACTAATAAAAAGAAAATACCGGGATCGAAACGTCAATAAACAGAAGAAATGAACATTCATTAGTTTATTAAATAATAATTAAGTGACCTTATTCCCAATTAAATAGTGAAGTTTAAATTTAATACTCAAAGGTCGATTAAGGAAAAGTTGTAAAGATATATATATATATCGAAAATAAAAATAACAGTTTCTGTGTAACGTTTTATGACAGAAGTTTTTTAAAATAAAAGTTCGGAAGAAGAGACAAATCTGAGAAGTTATAAATGAGTTAGCTATCAGCGGGGGGGGGGGGGGGAATCCCCAAAGAAAATCAGGTATTAAATTTTGCAATTTTTTATTTATATAAAATATCGTTTTTGGACGTTTCAAAGGACACAAAAAACAAGCATAACTTGCTTTTTCTTAACAAAAATTTACTCGGGCTACTTTATTAGTGCGATTTTCGTTTTTGTAATTTATAATACATTATAAATTTAATACCATAGTCAATATTTTTTTCTTATTCTGCACAAATATATATATATATACCAAAAAATCTGGGTAAAACCAAGATAAAAATAAATAACATAAATTTTGTTTGAAGTTATATCATTTTTTTTTCTCGGTGCCTAGGGCTCATTGCAACTAGCGCCGGGTCATGGATCCAATATTGTTCGATGTATAATCACCCAAAAAAGTAATTGGTTTAAATCGTTGACCCACTTACTGTAGCCTGCCCTTGAGCTTCCCTTGAGTACTGCTCAATAAAAGTTCTACGATACTTAAAAAGATCATGACTGGATGGATGGTACGACTGGAAGAAAAAATATCAGTTGAGTATTGGTGTTCTAGCCGAATCAACGGTTTTTCCTCTACCATTGTCAACCGTTCAGAGTGACCAATTGCCAATCTGTCGGTAGAAAAGTCTTAAAATGAAGCTCGATACTATGATGAGGAATGTGTTTGTACCATTAGATAGGATTGAAAAGAAAAAAGAAAAACATGCAAATGTAAATAGAACACTTGAAAAATGGACTAACAAGTACCGTTTCAACTCTATAATATTTAAAAGTAAGTTAGTTCGTTCGTTCTCTTCGTAGTTAATAATATAAGGATGTTATAGTTATTTTTATTTATTTCTGCCATTTCATGATAGCACTAGCGGATCCAGGATTTAATTTTGGGGGGAAGGCTTCAGCCCGAAAGCTTTTTATTTCCAAAAAATAACAATAATTTCTTTGGAATAAAAGAAATAAACTAACTACCTATATGAAATGGTGTTTAAGTATTGATGGTGTAAGTGATTCCTAAAGTCCTTTTAAATGTAATTACACGAACAATAATACTTTAAGAGATAATTTTTTCCATAAAACATGGTAATATTTTACCATTTTGGGGAGGAGGGGGCTCCAGCCCCAAAGCCTCCCTCCCCATTGATCCGCCCGTGTATGATAGAATGCATTAAACGATGTATTTGATACCACTGTTTTTTAACATTTTACCTACACCAATACACTACTTAAATTATAATTCTCTGTGTCTAGCAACATATTAAATCAGTAAATAAGTGAAAATAGAATTTCCTGTTCTCGTCCGTTAAAAAACAGCAATAATAATTGTGTTTCAGATGGAAAACGTTTATACTTTAAAAACAATTGGTTGAGGTATTGCGGGCCATAAGGTGAAAATATGGTTTCAGCAACTAATTTAAAAAGAAAATAAATAAGGTGTGTGCTTTATACCACACGACATAAGTGAAAATATCACCAAGGCGATGATACTAATATGAAATATAAATTATAAATAATAGCCATGGGTTCTACCAAACCATCGAATTCCTACCGTATCCAATCCTTACAATCCAAAATCCTCAATGATCCTTACTTTGTTACAAATAAAACCATTCATAAATACCTTAATGTTCCATATGTCGCTGATTTAGCCCGAGCCAGATACCTATCCTTTCATGATAAACTGCAATACCATCCAATTCCACTTGTTTCCAGCCTCGCTTCTTCCTCGATTCCTGATAATCTCCCGAGGCGTCTGAAAAGAAGATGGCCACGTGATCTTCTCACCTAGAATTAAATAGGGAGTGCTACCACTGACTGGGCAGTATCTCTTCAAGTCTGTTCATGTCATTATTTATTAAATGCACACATTGGAAATAATGACATGAACAGACTTGAAGAGATACTGCCCAGTGGTATGTGTGCATTTTTACTAGTTGTATTGTTTATACAGTTGTAAATTTCACTAAATTAATAAAAATAAATAATAGCTCATTACAAAGAAGATGCTGAAGATTTCCCTCGCTTACAGTATACAGGTCCGATTTTTAGTATCTGAAATATTTTAATTCCATATGTTCAACAAACCTCGTAATCATTTGCTTTTCAACACTATTTTTTCCATTTCGCCTCCCTAACACAGCTTCGCGTTAAGATGAAATTTAAATTATAGCCTTTTAAAGAGAGATGAAATGCTGAACAATTTCCTCATTAACAGTATACGAAAATCTAACGAATCAATCTGTTTCAATCTCCACAAAAAAAGTGTAAAAAGCTCCTAAAGCGGACAATTGAGAGCAATTAGTCAATGTTTTGAGAGAAAAATTAGGCACAACAAGACATAGCTGTTTTGATCACCCTTAATAAGAGATAAATTCTTAAAATAAAGATCATATAGTAAGTCTAAATTCATGTTAGCTAGTATTACAGAAATAAGTCTCATGAAAGGGCAGCCAGCGTCTTAATCAATAGTATGTCCGGTAAAATCTTTTAACGCGTTTCAAAGAAATCTAAAAGAAAAGATAGTTCCTTCTTGGGAGAAAAGTTTCTCGACGAATTCTGTTTTGCTGCCGTATTAGAATTATAACAGGTGACAAAACAAACGCAATTTATATAATGAACTCCTTGTTAACCTCTCCGAAATATGTAACAAGAATTTAAAAATATCAAGTATTGTGTTGATAAAAATAGAATACCGTATTATGAAAAAATTAAGAAACCAAGATAGAATGTTATCAATTTTTTTAATGGATATTGAATTTCTAACCATCATGGGTCCCATCCGATCCCAGGGACCGATGGCGCATGCACCCCACCTCTCTTCCAAGAAATTGTATTGTTTCTTTCCTACAATTACAATGTCCTTAATTTACTTGTAATACCAAATACGAATATTATGACAATCCCAGACAATGAAAAAGAAATCGATTACCTCAATCTAAGCGATATTTCATTGTAGTAATGCTATATTTGGGTTTTAAAATTTTGATGAAATTAAAAAATGAAAAATGGTTTTTGACAGAAAATGATTTCCAAATCATACAATGACTTTGTTTAACAATGACAGATTAATCTGGACGAGAAGAAAATATTACATTATCAATACCATGGCTTATACCCCACTAGATATCAAATCGGACACACTGGGTTACTTTTCGGATGGACAGAGAAATTGATCGTGCAAGTTCAACTTATGACCAGTGCCGGCCTTAGGGTGGGACCACCGGGGCAATTGCCCCAAAGCGATGGCTGATTATTGCCTCTTGTAAGAAATAAAAAAAAGTTACAAAAACATTAAAATAATTAATTTAAGTTTACCAATAAAGCAACCGTATTAGATAATTGTTGAATGCAATAAAACTTTAATATTACTTGATACAAATCATGGCTTCTATATACTTTAATGTATTTTTATAAAACAATATTATAAATACTGTGTGATAATAAGAGAAAATTGTCAATTAGTTTTTATAATCCTTTTTAAATGAATTGTTGTATATTGTAAAAAATAAATAAATAACTTTTCCAGGTAATTAGATCGAGAATGCAGAAAGTGTGTAAATGCCACGGAATGTCCGGATCCTGTAGTGTTAGAGCATGCTGGAGAAAGCTTCCACCGTTTAGAAAAATAGGAGATGTTTTAACATCTAGATTTGAAGGTGCATCTTCCGTTAGACTGATTGAAAAGAAAAAGCGGAAGATTAAAAAGCTAAGGGCCTCAAAAAAAGAACTTAAGCAGCCTAACAAAACTGAAATGGTGTATTTGGAAGAATCGCCGGATTATTGTGAAAGAAACGACTCGTGAGTAACATAAATATTTTTATTCTGGCTGTCATCATGGCTGTCATCATTTCTTGTTTTAATTAAATGATTAGTTGCAATTGTAAATTATCTGAAAATCGGTTGTTAAAAACTGCCGATGAGTAGTGGCTCAAGTGTAATCTAGTGGATTTCGAGTTATGGTTCTCAAAGTGAATTGTTTTCTCTTATATTTAATGAGCCAAGTTATGCGGCTTTTCTTACAACGAAGGGTATTTCCCCTTTGTAATAGTCATATACATCACTTATCACTTGACCCATTAGCAATAGTTCATTTAGATTGGTGATTATACAGTTTCGTAGTGCCCCACGTAAACAATAGCATTCTCTATGATAATATATTTTTTTTAATGTTTAAGTACTTATTTATAATGACGAATAACTGGAAAGACATTCTATAATGAAACAATATCATAAACATTGGTTTTTGTTATAGATTGGGCATTCTTGGAACACATGGAAGGGTTTGCAGAAGAGATAGTTTGGGACTGGACGGATGCAAATTACTCTGCTGTGGTCGTGGATATCAAACAAGGCTTCGGGAAGTAGAACAGCAGTGTAACTGCCACTTCGTTTGGTGTTGCAATGTCATTTGTGAAATTTGCACTTTTAAAAAAGAAGAACATATTTGTAATTAGCGATTTTAGAAAATAAGTAGTATTTCCATGCTAAGATGTATATTTTTATTTAATTTGGAATGAATTGTAATACTAAATAAAACAAAGAAAAAGATTTTTATTTTTCAAGTTTTTACTCAAAATTTCTGTAGACTAAAATTTGTACATATAACAATAAAATGATTTTGGAAAATATATTTTATTCTATGTTCAGTAACTCATGAAAAAACTTTCAGTGGCTATCAGATGACTTTATTGATTAAGTTATCTGCTGTCTCCAGTACTGATGTACTTACATATAGCCCTGGATCCAGGGCCCAAAAATCGACCTGATCGCAGTCGAAGGTTTGAATGTAAATTACCAAATTGTATGTTATTCTGAGTGAAATGAACCTTGTCTGCCATTCCAGAGCCGCTGCTTTCAAAAAAGGCGGCTGATTTAGAGAATATTAGACCAGTAATTAGAGGATCGAAACGGGAAATCCATTGCGAAAAATTTGAGAAAAGTTTTTATTTTTTTTAACTTGTATATATGGGTTTAGACATGTAAAAAACAAAATTGCTAAGGCCAAGTGGAAATTTTTTACAACCAAAAAAGTCAGATTTTTTCGATACCTTTTTTGTTTTTTCACCTATAACTCCTAAACGATGCATGAAAGCGAAAAATGTATTATTTAATAGATTAAACATCGTTGAATTTTGCGTCGAACGAGTACATAAACTTTATAATTTGATATTTAAAAAAATATCGAAAAAATCTGACTTTTATGGCTCTAAAAAGTTTTACATTGATGGCTCGCGTTAGCAATTTTGTTTTTTACGTTTATAAATCCGTATATACAAGTTTAAAAAAATAAAAACCTTTCTCACATTTTTCACAATGGATTTCCCGTTTCGATTCTCAAATCAATGGCCTAATATTGTCTAAATCAGCCACCAGGTTTCAAAGCAGCGGCTCTGGGACGGCAGACAAGGTTCCTTATACTCAGAATAACATAAACTTTCGTAATTTACAATCAAACCTGTGCCTGCGATCAGGCCGATTTTTCGCGCCATGGCTCCAGGACTAATAGACTAATGTATCTACATATCTACCTACGTAAATACTGACTTCTATTTCCAAGGCCGGCTTTATGGTAAAGGAAGCTCGGCGTTTATCCAGGAAACCAAATTCTGGGGCCTTAATTGATTTAAAGCTGTCAAGAGTACAAATATAAAATTGAAATGGTCTATTATTTTCAGCTGCTCCTTGTTAGGATTAAATTTACATTTAATTTATCAACCGAAATCGCAGGACGGATACTTGACTCGATGTATATTTCACTTACTATTTACCACTACGATAAGACAAGTCGTTAATATCGTTGACATGAGAAGTATGAGAGGCCCTAATTACGATTTAGGACCACTTTTTGGCCAGACACAAATTAAAGAAAAATATAACAAAGGTGGCAAGACCAGGAACAATCAAATGCACAAAGTGGAACAATGAAAACTTAAAATTGATGAACGAATTATAGAGGAATAGCCCTGGTAGAAGTCTTGTACAACCTTCTTTCTAACTTAAAGTTCAAAAGGCTGCATAAACATTCTGAAGAAATTTTAGAATATTACCAATATGGCTTTCCTCGCGCGGGCTCATTACCGCGTATGGGGAGCGTCCCACGGGTGGCGGATGTGGGGATGGTCGGTGGAAATTCCTTGGAAGTTCCTCCCGGCTAAGTCCGATGGACTCGCTGACCAACAATGAGAGGGGCCCTCCAGACTTGCTGAAGGGAGGGGACCTCCAGACTTGCTGGAGGTAGGGGCCCACCAGACTTGCTGGAGGGTGTGACGTAGGATTGAACGCCCTACTCACATATCTTTAGTTCACCAAACACCACAAAAAGTCATGGATCTCCCTAAGGTAAAACGCTCATTATCCGGAGGTAAACTAGTCCCCCGTTCGGGTCTCCGGGTGGGGACTGCTTTAGGGGATTCATGGCGCAAGTTGAAATATAGGGATTTAAATATTGGTACGTGGAAGGTAAGGAGTTTAAACACAGCAGGGGGGCTAAAATCTGTCGCGAATGAGGTAAATGGGTACAATTTGGATGTCGTGGCTCTGCAAGAGGTTCGCTGGCCAGGGGAGGGCTCGATGAGGGAAGGGAAGTACACTATTTGGTACGGAGGAAGCGGGAATCATTGTTTAGGTACCGGGTTTCTAATTAGAAGTAGATTACTATCCGCTTTGAGGGACGTACAATTCTTTAGTGATAGAATTTCGGTAGCTACATTTCAGGGACGTTGGTTTAAAATCGCATTAATAAACATACATTGTCCGACCGAAGACAGTGACGATGAAGTCAAAAGTGAATTTTACGATAAACTCGAATGGGTTTATGATAAACTACCGCGAAACTACATGAAAATAATTGTAGGTGACGCGAACGCAAAGGTAGGAAGGGAAGAAGTTTATATTCCGACGATTGGTAAAGAAAGTTTGCACGAATATAGTAATGATAATGGGATCCGTCTGATAAACTTTGCCATCTCGAAAAACCTGATAATTAAAAGTACGACGTTTAAACATAAGGATATTCATAAATATACTTGGACATCACCGGATTCGCAAACACGAAATCAAATCGATCATGTCTTGATACAACACAGCTGGCAAAGCAGTATAATTAATGTACGGTCTTATCGCGGAGCAGAATGTGGGTCGGATCATGAATTAGTAATCGCGAAACTTCGACAAAAACTTAATATAAAAAAGAGAAAAGAAAACCGTTTCGATTTTGAGAATTTTAATTTGGAAAAATTAAAAAATCCATCAATTAGAACCCAATTCGAGCTAGATGTTAAGAATAGGTTTGAAGCTTTAGAGCTTCCTGACGAGGACCACGAGGATATTGACAAGTTATGGGTAGAGATCAGGGATAATATTAAAGCGGTCGGTAACTCGTGTCTAGGAAAAAAGGAAAATAAGAATAACAAACCGTGGTTTGATGAAGATTGCTTAAACATGTGCGAAAAAAGAAAAGCCGCTAAATTAAAAGCTCTAAATAATCCTAGCGAAGACAATCTGGAATACTTCCGAATCTCAAAGAACGAAACGACAAAATTGCTCAAAAATAAAAAAAGGGAGTATCTTAAAAATAAAATAATTGAAATAGAAACTAATAGAATCGAAAATAACGTAAGAGACATGTACAAAGGTATAAACAGATCACGTAAATATGTAGGGCCCGTAACGTCTGGAATTAGGGATGATAATAACAATATTCTGACCGATCCGGTTGACATATTGAATAAGTTTAAGGACCACTTTGACAATATTTTAAATACGGGAAATTATGATCTGTGTCCTCCTTCTGAGTACCAGAGTGCTGAACCGTTAATAGAAGGACCAAGTAAAGAGGAAGTTGAAGTAGCTATCGGAAAATTAAAATCATATAAAGCAGCGGGAATCGATAATATTCCTACTGAACTAATTAAGGCATGCGGGAAGCTGGAGTTTCTAAAATACATCGGTTGGTTAAAAAGATCTGGGTGAACGAGAAATTACCTGAAGAATGGAAAGAATCTATTCTTATTCCGATTCACAAAAAGGGTCCGAGGACGGATTGTAATAACTATCGAGGAATTTCACTCCTTCCGGTATGTTATAAAATATTCACTTTAATCTTAACCAGTCGAATCACGGAATACGCCGAGGAAATTATCGGAGACTACCAATGCGGATTTAGACGGAATCGTTCGACTATTGATCAAATATTTTCTTTACGGCAAATATTAGAGAAAAAATTGGAGTATAACGGTATTGTTCACCAGCTGTATATAGATTTTAAAAAGGCTTACGATTCTATTGACCGCCAGAAACTGTATAATATTCTAATCGAGCAGGGGATTCCAAAAAAATAGTAAATCTAGTCAGGATGTGCTTGACGGAGACACTCAATAAAGTTAGAATCGGTAATAATTTGTCCGAAAAATTTGAGGTTCGTTCGGGCTTAAAACAGGGGGATTCTCTTTCGCCTGTCCTGTTCAATTTGGCATTAGAACATGCCATTAGGGAGGTAATGCGAACCGAGAAAGGGTTGGATCTGGGCGGGACAACATCCGTGCTGGGCTATGCTGATGATCTGGTACTGTTAAGCGAAGACGTTGAAACTATAAAACTAAATACGACAACGTTAATGAAAGCCGGTAAAAAACTAGGACTCGAAATAAACGTGGATAAAACAAAATATATGGTTAGCTGCAAAAATGGCGATACTACTGGTGATATCGATATAGATGGTAATATGTTTGAACAGGTAGATAAATTTAGGTATCTAGGTTCTACGATAACTAGAAAAAACGAAATTGAAGAAGAGATTAAGGTTAGACTGAAGGCGGGAAATGCTTGTTATTTTTCTGTGACAAAACTACTTAGTTCGCGCCTCTTGTCCCGGAACTTAAAAATTAGAATCTATAAAACAATTATCTTGCCTACAGTTCTTTATGGATGCGAAACTTGGCCGCTTACATTAAGGGATGAGCAGCGTCTTAAGGTTTTTGAAAATAAAGTATTGCGTAGAATATTCGGACCGAAGAAGGATGAGTTAACCGGAGAGTTCAGACGGTTACACAACGCCGAATTGCGTGAACTGTATCCGGGTAATATAATTGAGGTAATTTCATCGCGGCGAATCAAATGGGCTTGTAAAGTTGTTGGGCTTAGTAACGAGAGAATTCCTAACAGATTAATATTTGCTGTGCCGAATGGTAAGCGTCCGAGGGGTAGACCGAAGCGAAGGTGGGAAGATTGCATTAAAGCCGATCTGAAGGGACTGGGTTTGGACGGCGAACGGTGGAGGGAGGTGTGTAATAAGCGATTGGTGGTGTCGGCATCGAACCTTCGGGTTCACTAAGCCTTTTATTATTATTATTATTTACCAATATGGCTTTAGAGTTCACAGAGTTACTACAGATCAAATTTTTGCACTTTGAAAAATTGACAAATGGAAAAAATGTTATGAAAATGAATTCTTTTTACAGTTATTATTCATCGACAACAAGCA